GGACACCCATGCAGTGCTAGTGGGGATTTGTACCAGCCAGAGTCTGACCAGGAAAATGGAAACCCTTCAGGTACTTCAATCAAGAGGAGATTTAATGCAGAGCTGTTGGGGAGAGTAATGGTCAGGGGAGCTTTGGAAGTGTTCAGGAATCCAACAAGTGTGAAACTGCAGGGAACCACCACTGCTGATCTCAACTGCACTCAAGTGACATTCAGGAAGCTGTATCTGAAAGCCACCAGCAGAACTCACCCCAGCCTTTATCGAAGCCCATGTCTCACACCATTGCCAAAAGTCAGCTTCTCTTTCTGTTGGGTTTCTGAATCTCACAGCAATGGTTCTCACTGGCAGAAATCAAACTAGATCCCTGCTGTCAAAGGATTTGGGGGAACATAGTATCCAGGCTCTTACTGCTGCAATACAGAGGGAAACACTAAAGAGAGAAAGAATAATGAGGAGGAGATAACAGATAATCCGAGATAGTGCATTAATTGGAATGATCCCCATGGGTACCAACATCCATCACAACCACCCTCCCACCCAGTAATGACAGCACCAGGAATTTATCCTACTGGTATTTTAGCACGTGTGTAAAATGACATATGCATCAGATATCAGAAGATTGGAAATACCATAAATGTCCATTAATGTAGGACTGGCAAGACCAGTTATGATGTTTTCACATAATGGAATACTATGTGTATTTTTAAAACAATGAGGCAGTTCCATATGACACCTATGGCTCCATTTGCAAGATGTACTGTCAAGTGAATAAAGCAAAACAGTGTGTGCAATGTGTTATCATTTGTGTGGAAAGCATACACTCATGTAAAAATTTTAAATAACCATGTATAAATAAGATTGTTTAGGCATGAATGCACTTTCCAATATTCATAAGAAACTACAAGTGTGGTTGCCTCTGAGAAGGAGAATTGAGGACAGAGCTGGTCAGGAGGGTCTCCCTTCTCCATATGCATTGTTTGCTTCTCCATGTGTTGGCTAATCACAGATAAGGAATACTTGTACCAGTCAAGGTTCAATCACAGAAGTAAAACCAATAGTTATAAATGTAGAGATAGAGATGATGCGGGTGATGGAAATGACATTGGAGATAATGGAGGTGGAAATGATGGAGATAACAGAGATGGAGATGATGCAGGTGATGAAGATGATGGACATAATGGAGATGATGGGGTGACAGAGATGATGGAGGTGACGGAGGTGATGGAGATAATGGAAGTGATGGAGGTGATGGAGATGATGGAGGTGATGGAGGTGATGATGGAGATAGAGATGATGGAGGTGATGGAAGTGATGGAGGTGATGGAGATGATGGNAGGTGATGGAGGTGATGATGGAGATAGAGATGATGCGGGTGATGGAAATGACATTGGAGATAATGGAGGTGGAAATGATGGAGATAACAGAGATGGAGATGATGCAGGTGATGAAGATGATGGACATAATGGAGATGATGGGGTGACAGAGATGATGGAGGTGACGGAGGTGATGGAGATAATGGAAGTGATGGAGATGATGGAGATGATGGAGGTGATGGAGGTGATGATGGAGATAGAGATGATGGAGGTGATGGAAGTGATGGAGGTGATGGAGATGATGGAGGTGATGGACGTGATGGAAGTGATGGAGATGATGGAGGTAATGGAGATGATGGAGGTGATGGAAGTGAGAGAGGTGATGGAAGTGATGGAGGTGATGGAGATGATCAAGGTGATGGAGATGGAGATGATAGAGATGATTCAGGTGATGGAGATGATCGAGGTGATAGAGGTGATGATGGAGATAGAGATGATGGAGGTGATGGAAGTGATGGAGGTGATGGAGATGATGGAGGTAATGGAGATGATGGAGGTGATGGAAGTGAGAGAGGTGATGGAAGTGATGGAGGTGATGGAGATGATAGAGATGATTCAGGTGATGGAGATGATCGAGGTGATAGAGGTGATGATGGAGATAGAGATGATAGAGATGATTCAGGTGATGGAGATGATCGAGGTGATAGAGGTGATGATGGAGATAGAGATGATAGAGATGATGGAGGTGATGGAGATGATTGAGGTGATAGAGATGATGGAGGTGATGGAGGTGATGGAGATAGAGATGATGGAGCTGATGGAGGTGATGGAGATAGAGATGATGGAGCTGATGGAGGTGATGGAGATAGAGATGATGGAGCTGATGGAGCTGATGGAGGTGATGGAGATAGAGATGATGGAGCTGATGGAGGTGATGGAGATGATAAAGATAGAGATGGTGGAGCTGATGGAGGTGATGGAGATGATAGAGATAGAGATGATGGAGCTGATGGAGGTGATGGAGATAGAGATGATGGAGGTGATGGAAGTGATGATGGAGATAGAGATGATGGAGGTGATGGAAGTGATGGAGGTGATGGAGATGATGGAGGTGATGGAAGTGATGGAGGTGATGGAGATGATGGAGGTGATGGAAATGATGGAGATGATGGAGGTGATGGAGATGATGGAAGTGATGGAGATGATGGAGGTAATTGAGGTGATGGAGGTGATGGAGGTGATGGAGATGATGGAGGTGATGGAAGTGAGAGAGGTGATGGAAGTGATGGAGATGATGGAGGTAATGGAGATGATGGAGGTGATGGAGATGATTGAGGTGATAGAGATGATGGAGGTGATGGAG